TACCAGTCCATGAGAGCGTAGACTGTGAGAACGTTATTTTGGGTTTGTTGTATTGAGGTATTTCCGTTATAGCCACAGCAGATAACTAAGGCAGGCAGGCGGGTTGCTCTTTGAGAAGTCAACAATTCCACCACCCTCATATGTTTAGAAGGAGAGCCCTGGTGGCATAATAGTTACTTAAGTAGTACAAAACCACCAGCTGCTCTTTGGGCGAAAGATGAGACTTTCTACTTCCATGAAAAGTTATAACCTCAGAAACCCACAGGGTCAATTCTACCACGTCCTAAGGGGCCACTATGAGTCTGAATCGAGTCAATGGCAGTGAGTTTGGTCTTGGTCTTTAATTTTGGAGATGTAGATTTTAGCACACCAAGAAGAGCAAAGAAAGCAAGCAAGTTTTCTCCCTTTCCTAGAGACAGTTCCAAGAGTGGATCACAGTTTCTCATTAGTTTACTTGGTTGTGATGGTAACAAATAAGCATTTGGAATGGAGTGCTGAGAATATGCATAGCCTATGCATTGCCGCTGGGGATTCTTGAATGTAATATGCTAAGTGTACCTTCCATGTCATGCATGTGAAACTAGATGTTGCCCTTGAGAATGCACTTCATTGGGTTCAGGGAGGAAGGTCCTACCTTGAGCACCAGGGCTTCCTTTGGGACCTGGAATTGGCTCCAGCAAACCTGAAAGAGAAAACATTGGCATAATAACCTTGGTGGCAGTTTATCGCCTCTACATCTAACACATCTGCTCGCAATTCCTCAGGGCGTCTTAATGGTCACATCCCAAGAACTTGTTAGACATCATCAACTTTCCCAGAGAAGAATCTTCAGAGAAGTTAAGGGGCACAAAGCCATTAGCTATTCTATCCCCAAGAAACCAAATGGATCAAAGATGAGGAACAAGTGGTACCTGTTTCTCCCTTTTCTCCAGTTGGTCCAGGAATTCCATCACGTCCTTGGTTACCTCTTACACCCATTGGTCCAGGAGGCCCTGGGAGTCCCGGAGGGCCTAAAACCAAACCAAACCAAAGCAACACGCCATGACATGCAAAGAGAAGACTTCTGATGGGCCTTCACATTTTTTGTAGAAAATTTTCATTATCTTCTAAATCCATTTTCACATAAACTTTTTGAAGCGCCTTCCTATTTCCTACCAAGTGGTCTAATGGGAAAAACAGGTGTATGGGATTTAGCTAATGCTGCCATTATTTTCCCCGCTAGAGCTGTAGCTCTGTGATTATACTGGGTCCCAGGCTGACACAAGGAGATTGTGGCAGCTGCTAGCCTAAGGGTTGGGAAGTCAAACCCATGGAGTGGCAATCCGCTTCCATGAGGTGACAGTCACGGGAGCTCTGTGGAGCAGTTCTAGTCTGGTGCCCATTGGGACGCCACGACTTGGACTTGACTTGATGCAATAGGCTCTGCTAATGTGTCCTGAGCTGAGTCTACAGTGAAAACTGCACAGTCTGACATCATCCCCTTGGCATATTTAGGTTGGCAGGTATTTGAATTCAGTATATATATGCAACCTAACTGTCTGTCAGTTTGTCGTACTCTGATGGCTTGTGTGTTGCTGTGATGCTGGAAGCGATGCTATTGGTATTTCAAATGCCAGCATGGTCACCCAAAGTGACAGGTTTCAATGGAGCTTCCAGACTAAGAACAGGTCTCTAAAAAGGACTTCGTTTCCTACTTTGGAGAAAGGAGCCTCTGCAAACCTTATGCATAACAACAACTTTCCCCAGGGCATTAAGTGAATGGAAGCAACTTCGATGGAGCAAACTTGCTCACACCTTGAAGTGTACAGGGGAAAATGTGTCCCCTACAAGATAAGGAAATAGAGAAAGCACAAAAAAAGGAAACCTGGGGGCCCTTTCATTCCCGGAGATCCTGGGAAGCCTTTGATGCCTTTAAACCCCAAATCACCATCAGGACCTGGCTTTCCTGCAAATGAAGAGAGAGGGAAAGAGAATAGAGAAAAAAACACCATGGACTAGATGAACACAATGACTGATCTGGTCAGTTTTTCTTTTATAGCCAACTGTGCTCATGGAGGAAGCCTGGGGATTCAAACCCAGCAGCCACTCCATGGGAGAAACATGTAGCAGTTCACCTCTGTGATTTATGGACCCACCTCGGAGATATGCCAGGTTTAGTGGAAGGCCACATTAATAAAGTAATTATTGTTTAGTGAGTCACTTTCATTTTTTAGTATCTTTT